AGAATTTTTCTCTTATCATTCATGTCCCTATCAGTAATAATTCCTCGAATTCTCAGTTCGTAGTTCAGCTCATTGATCAACAAATGCTTAGCTTTAAACATTTCCATTTTGAAAGAATTTATTCAAATTTCCAAAAAAAAATTATTTATAAGTGATACGCAAAAATCAATTAAATGAGGACTGGAAGCATGCCAGAAATCCTCAGGGAAAAAATATTTCCTTTATACGGTACTCACCTTGTATGTGGGATATCTTAATTGAAGTTCAGGAATTATTTCAAAATAAAATCAAGTTCAGAAAATATTTCAAAAAATCATCAACTGATTAAGGCAGTCACCCTGTATATAATGCTATCGAATTCAAGGTTTGAATCTTTATTTAAAAATATTCAAAATAAAAAAAAAATTAGACATGATTAATTGTCCACCCTGTATGAACAATGGTCTAATGCTTATGCAAAAATTAAACTGAAATTCTGATTATGTCAGAAATTATGCACCATTACTGAAATGAAATCTTGCACGGTTACTCACCCTGAATGCAAATGTTAAAAATTTCCAAAATATTAAAAATTGACTAACTGTTGCCTACGTTGAACAGCTGTCAAAAAATAAACTGAATGAATTCAATTATGAAGAATTCAGATCAAAACTAATTTCCATTAACTAAATGGACCACCAAAAATTCCAAAAAACAACTTCATATAACCAAAAAATTTGCAAAAAATTCCTAGTTCACCCTGTACATGGCATATTGAAATTTTTGAGTAAGAAACTATTCATCAAAAAAATAATCATAATATATCAAAATGTGAAGTTATCATATACTTATTTTACCAGATTTGAAAATTCAAGGACAAAATATTGAGTTCACAAAGTGTTTTCAAAAAAATTAGAGAAATATTAAGCTCAACTGAGTACTAGCGTCTGCGGACAGGTGCAAGTAATAACTCCGTGGTAGGGGAACGTTAGTTAACTTGTGTCGAGTCTAATATAAGGAAGGCATTTTTTTTAACAATCAATCGACCTAGATGAACCTTTTTTCTTGAAGAAGGAGAATTTTTCTTGAGGAAGGAAAATATTGTTTCTGCATAAAAAATGAGAAGGCGGTACATATACTAAAAATTGGAACGATACAGAGAAGATTAGCATGGCCCCTGCGCAAGGATGACACGCAAAATCGTAAAGCGTTCCACATTTTTAGTATATGTACTCGCTTCGGCGGTACATATACTATTTATGAGTATATCTGTACTTGTATTAACACCAAATAAAATATTCTATTCTATTCTAACCTAACCTAACCGAACCTCACCTCTGGCCTAAACATAGAAAACCCCTAAATGAACCTATTTCCCATAGAGAATATTTTTTAGAAATCACTTGAGAACAAGAAAAAAATAAAAAAAAGATGAGCCTCGCACGGATTCGAACCCCGGCCCGCCGGCTTGGCATGCCGATGCTCTGCTTACTGAGCCAACCAGTTGCTTACGAGACGAAGTATGATGAAGTCATTCAGTCGGCGCCGCATAACGCCAGTCGCATCTACTGCCCACTATAACGTTCTCCCACCACGGAGTTATTACTTGCACCTGTCCGCAGACGCTAATAACAGAGTCACTCGGGCCCCACGTTGGGCGCCAAATTCTTGTAACCTACTTTAGACAATTTTTCTTAGATGGTACAAAAAATATGAATGTCAAAAAGTTAGATTAGCAAGGCACAGGCAGCTTTTCGTCTGGCGAGCGATGATCATAGATTCGGACTTTGTTGAGGTACCAGAGGGGCGCCACTTAGTTTGTATGAGAATAAAAAACCAAGAAAAGATATTTGATATTAAATTCAACTATTTTCCTGAAAGAGAAAATAATTCAAACACTGTGTGAACTCGATGGTGGTTTAATGAGATATTTTGTAAAACCCAGGTTAACATTTACATGGAGAATTAATGACAATAATTCCAATAGTAAAAAAAAATATTCAAAATCAGATTCACAATTACCTATATATGAATTTTATGTGAATTCCCTTTTATAGATCTATATTGGGGCGAACATTTCGTGAACTAGTAAATGTAAACTGGTAAGAAAATGGTCAGAAATTGGTAAGAAAATTGGTAAAAATTATGTGACACATCTGGTGCTGATAAATGGTAACTTCATAAAAAACAGGAAAGAAATCTTCAATTGTAGCTCTTACTCAAACCATGCCCAAAAATACCATGTCCTCAGAGCCAGGGCAGGAACAGACAGCAGGAAGTGGCACCTCAGCCACGTGGAAGAAATTCTGCCACTAGCAGACCTTGATGATGCACCTGGTGCTGCAGCGAGGACTGCCTGGACGACTGCAGAGAAGACAGCTGATGTAGACCAGGAGCAGGTGACAGGGCCATGCAACCAGGATGGATTCGGGACTCCTCAGGAAATGTCCTTGAAGAATCGCAGGTCCAATTTGGGTGTCTCAGCACGTGCAGCTCCAGAACTGACAGAAAGTCAGGCAGCAGCAGCCAGACGACGAGGTCGAAATCCCAGGTCCCAACAGCAAAAGTCTCAATCGGACTAGCCGGCGTCGAATCAAACGACGTATCCGAAAATGGACTCCACGAGGTGTTGCCCAAAGTAGCCGACGGGGTATCCGTCGAGGCCCACAAATCTGCGGCAATACACCAATATTTATAGCCACCAGAATAAAACTATGAAGTAGGGTTTTATCCCTATTAGGTTTGAAACTTACCCCTGAGATCAGGAAAGGCTTCACTACACGAAAAGACTACCAAATAGTGATCGGTCTGCATCTTGGATGATACCAGGATGGGGCCGAAGGAAATGATGAAACGACGCCACCAAGCTAGGAAGGGGCAATTCCTGCGCCTTCTAGAATCTTACAATTTAGAAATTCTACCCAGAAAAAACTTCGAAATTTCCTGCGCAACTTGAATTTTGAAGACAGCAGGAAACGTTGATCACGTGATGTGCATCCTCATCCGGGGTTGGTCAGTTCCACAGACATAACTACTCACACACTTACAAGACTATCCTGTCTAATCCAAGGCACGAAAATCCATAAAACAACAAACATATGACCACGGAGCACATAGAAACATATTCCGATCGAAGATCCAACGTCATCCTACTCCGCCCGAACCAATGGAACCACCTACACCGCTGATTTCGCAGCCAGCATACTTTTAATGATACTGTCCAGGTATTACTCGTATGACGGTGAGTGACATGACATGACAGCACTGTCACTGTTTTGAGACGTCAGTGTCAAAAATACACTTACATAATATCAATAAATCATTGTTTATAGGGGTATTCCGGAGCCCTCGTATTTGACATCGTATATTTACGAAAATGACCTACGTATTGTTACGAAACCTCAAACACGGGAACGACCCATGGATAGCAATGTCAACTGTCAGTTCATTCCGAAGCTTCCGGTGCGAAATTGAAAAATTCAAATTCATCATGCCAAAGAAAAGTTTCAAACAAAGTATTATCAATAATTTGATAAATAATGCTATAGAAGAATTATCGAATATTGATGTGTCAGGTAATATTTTGAAAAATTGTAATTGTATACTAAAGTTGATTAGTATTTATAGTAAAGTAGTATCTAATCATTTTGTTTTATTTAGATGATGAAGAATATGAAAATGTATTGGATAATCTCAGTGATGAATTGGTAGCAGCTGAGAGTAGTCGATACGGACATATCAGTAATATACCGAAATCAATGCATTGGGTATCAGAAGTTTTACCTAATTTAGATGATGATAGATTCAAGCAAATGTTGCGTATGAACAGATATAAATTTGATGAAATATTATCCAAAATTAAGGGTAGTTCATATTTTCATGGCACCAATTCTCAATTACAATTTTCTGTAGACATGCAGCTAGCTATAGTACTTTTCCGTTTGGGTTCATATGGTGATGGTTGTTCAGTCAGAAAAATAGCAAATGTATTTGGAATAGGAGATGGTGGTACTATAGAGAGAATTACTCGTAGAGTATTCAAAGTAAGTATACAATATCTGCATTCAGATATATATGAACTGAAAAGTGGAGATTCATTTTTGTAGGCTATTTTAGAACTCAAGGAAAGATATATATCCTGGCCAGATACACAAGAAAGGCAGGCTATAGTTCAAACTACTTTCCATGAACTACCTTATTGTGTGGGATATCTCGATGGAACTGAATTCAAATTAGCAGAAGCTCCAGTAGTAGATCACAAATCCTATTTTTCAAGAAAAAAAGTTTACTGCATTAAGGCTCAAGTAAGCAATATAATGAAATAGGAAACTTTATCATCATACGCAGATACATTCTTCCAGTTTCAAAAACTGAATGTGTTAAGAAATATAATTATGATTGACTATAGGTACTTTATGTGTCTTCTAGATAATTTGTGATTACAAGAAAAGAATTCGAAATGTAGTTGTTGGCTACCCAGGTAGTGTGCATGATGCAAGAATATTCAACAACTGCAAAATAGGTAAACAGCCAGAGAATTTCCTCAATGGAATGGAATGGATTGCAGCAGATTCAGCTTATAAACTATCAGAAAAAATATTGACACCCTATAGAAGAAATTCTCCTTCAGTTTCTGAAGAACATAGAAAAGAGTTCAATTATAACTTTTGCAAGTATCGTGTCAGAATCGAACATTGTTTTGGGATTTTGAAAGAAATATTTCAAAGTTTGAAAGAAATACGGATGAGAATTCATAATGAAGCAAGTAATCAATTCATATGTGAATGGATTTTAGTTTGTTGTATCTTGTACAATATGATATTGGAGAACAATGTACTACTTTATGAAGAAACTTTTGTGGATTCCATGGATGATGAATATGAAAATGAAATTCACCTTCATGATGATGTTCGTGCTGAACTTAAGAGAAAAGCGTTATATGAATTATTGTTTAATAAAAATAAATAACTCAGTGTTGTCTTTAGATTGAACTAAATTGCCAAAATATAATCTACAAAACTTTACTTAGTTTGATACCTAAATTTACATTCAATCTCAAATTTAGCTATTCTCTCCTCTTTTTCAATTCTCATTATTTCCAATTTTTCTGCAGAAGCAATTTTTTCACGTTCTAGTTCAAGCTGTTGATTCCATTGGTGTTTCTGAAACTCTAATTTTTCCTTCTCTACCTCTAATTTTGAGTTTTGAATGTCACTTCTGATTTTATTAAGGTCATTCAGTGACTCCAAAGTTGTTTTTGTTTGTTTCTTTGGTTTCCACTTATCATTTTGATTCAGTTTTCTTTTAAATCCATTAAGACAAATATCTTCTGCTGGTAATGCCACATTTTCATTCCTTTCCTCCACTAAAATTATCTCTTCAACATCTGCTACCTCCTCAGATTCCTCTTGAAGTAGTTCAAGTTCGTCTACAGGTTCCTCTGCAGAAGCCTCTTGTTGGATTGAATGTGTTTCACCATCATCAAGACTGTCCAATATTGGTGGAAGATGTATACCCACATTCTGATTGTAAATTTCATCCAATAAATCCCAAAATGGACAAATTTTATGAATGTATTCTGAAACATTGAAACATGCATAAGATAAATGTAAGTAAGTACTTGATGTTATTAATTCTTTAAACAATTCAATGGTAAGCATAAGTAATTCTAGGCTATCATAAAGTAGATATTCAAATCTAAATCACCTTCAACAGTTTTTCCATCTTTATCATTGATCAATCCCATTCCGGTCCCATTCAACCATGTAACAGCCTTGTTATACTGTTCCTTTAGATTTCTCACCTTATTTTTTATTAAGGTTGGGTTGAGATTCACAAGTTTGTTTTTATTTATAATATTTTGGTAGTATACTACTGCAGTGGGTTTTTCTATTTCTGCACCATTCAAAATTGTATCTTTCATATGGCTCAATATAATTTCAGTTTCTTTATCTGTCCACTTTTTATGAGGGCCTTGTTTCCTCTTGGAAACAGAGCTAGAACTGCATGACTGAAAATACAATTTCAATAATTCAAGTCCTTCTCCAAGATTGACACATAGTTCTTGTTCTTATTCTTACCATTTTCAAAATACCTTTATCCAAATCAGGTATTTATATTATTGTGCTTTATGCTCAGGCAGTCAGGCCAGGCAGCTCAAACGATAAAAATTCGTTAAACACAACCCTAACCTCACCACTTGAAACTTGAAACCGGTCACGGAACAAACTTCTGTCAGAACAGTTTCGTAGGAACGGCAATTTTGTAATCTTACACAAGAAAATGGTAGTGTAAAGTTACGAAGGACCGCGTATCCTAATCGACCAATCAGATTAGTTTGCTGAATACGACGATACGAAAATACGACAATACGAAGCATTATACGAGGACCGGGAATACCCCTAGTGATTAACAATATGAAATCAATAATCCCAAAATTCATCTCAGACCATAATAATTCAAGGTACGTAGCGAAATTTCCAGCCAATTGTTAGGGTATTCTTCAAACCTAAATAATCTACCATCTGAAACTATTTTACATTCACTAACTACTTATTTATTTCCAGGTGAAACCATGAAGTGTCAACACCAGGACATCTTTCCAACCTAAGCCTACTATACTGATGAAGAAATAAGCAGCTTATTTCTGGTGAGTATTCTACAACTTCATCAATATTCTATACTAGAGTGTATTGATATTTTCAGGTGATGGACCACTTCACACTCTGGACCATTGGAGGAATAATATTGTAAATACTTAAGTGCCATGTACTTTTATACATGAATAAAATCATTATATACAGTGTGAGTGTCTCTCTAGTTGTTAACACCGAGATCTATCATCAAAAACCTGATACATAATGAACTTCACCTAGGAACTGAAAATTAGAGGAGAAAGGTAAATTTTCACGTTACAAGCCATCAGCAAATCTAATGAAGAGCATTACACAGAAACCAACGATTTCTTGAACAATTTCATAGAAATTATTCATTGCTTGGAAGTTGGATGTAAAAAAATTTGGAAACCATGTCAGACAGGTGCCTTGATTTCAACGAAATCTATATTAGATTTACACAAAAAGTTATTAGAAGAACATTAGTATGATTTTTACATCAAGATTTTCCCAAGATTGTTTAGAGAATGTATTTAGTGTATTGAGATCAAAACAGATAACCCCTAATGCAATGCAAATTGAAAACAACTTGAAGTTGCTATCTTTATCTCAATTCATGAGAAATACTAGTAACAGATCCATCGCAAAAGCTGCTTCACAAAAACTCGGATTCTTGTTCCGTGCGAAGAGCTACTTTACACCTCAACAGCTTCTCATGATCTACAAAGCGCAGATACGGCCTGTTCTAGAATACTGTTCCCACATATGGGGTTCAGCACCAAAACATACGCTGATGCTCTTAGATTCCATCCAGAGAAGAGCCATTCGCCTGGTGGGTGACGCCAAACTCACTCACTCTTTGACATCATTGGAACACCGTAGAAAGGTCGGCGACCTTTCACTTTTCTATCGATACTTCCACGGGAAATGTTCTTCGGAAATCTCTGATATCATCCCTTCACTAGCAATACCAATCAGACGAACTAGACAAGCCCAGTCAGCACATCCTTTCCTTGTCAACCTCGAAAGATGTCGAACAGCACTTTATCAAGACTCCTTCATCCATTGAACGGCTAGGCTCTGGAATTCATTGCCTGTGGAAGTATTCCCAACAACATATAATCTCCAAAAGTTAAAAAAAATTCCAATACCTACCTCCTGTCCCTATCTTCCCTAGGAACGCACGATGTTCTCTGAACCTTATAGGGATTCCCTTTCGTGCGCTCCAAGCGATGAAAAAAATACACAATGGACAGATTCAGCTATTAAACTTCTAATTTCCACGTATAAGGAATGTGAAGAATCATTTTCGTCGCCCCAACATAATAAGAAGACTGTCTGGGCTAAGATAAGCCGAAAACTAGAAACGAATGGTGTTCATATAAAAGGAAGCAAGTGTGATGAGAAGTGGAGAACCCTCAAGAAAAAATATGAAGTAGTGAGAAGAGAGAATGAAAAAACTGGAAATTCAACTGTTAATTGGAAGTATTTTGATGCACTGCATAGTATTTACTCAAAAGATCCACAATTTTCTCCTCTGACCACAGTGAGTAGCACAGGACAAATTAGAATGCAGCAACCAGAAACTCCCACAAGTTCCAGATCCAAGTACTCTCCAGTAGGACTGGATCCGGGGATCACGAACACTTCGAAGAAAATGAAGCGAAAAAGCACTTCATTTATTGAAGAGTTGGAACAGAAAAGACAAGCCAGGCATGATAATTATATATATATATATATATATATATATAAATTATAATTCAGAGGCAATACAAAACATGTTGAACCACTGCTAACCATATTGGGCCAGGTCTTACACTCAGATTCTATGTACCCAAGGGATGCTAGTAGGCAATCATTATTTTATTGTTGATGTTACATTTCCCAAAGAATTAACTGTTCATACAGGAATATATTCATTTTTTGATAGTAGATAGGTAGATACTTATTTACTTGATATAATATGTTAAGTTTGTTTTTTGACTTATTAGTCCAACCAAAATGGACCTTCAATGGTTTTATATTATTTGTATTTCCTAAAAAGTTATTCGAGTTCATTCAGCTAGAATATCAAATGTTTTATTTTTATTGGAAGTTTATGTGTATTTTGTAAACTTTGAGCAAAGTCATGTTTAACAATATATGAAATTGTTTAGATGGATCTGTTCAAGGAATTTTCAACGAATAAATCATGCAAAAATCATCTGATGGTTCATCTTATAATTTATACCAAGAACAATTCATTGCATAAATCATCTCTCTTGTTCCTTCCCATAATTCTCAGATGATGTAATCCCATATCCACAACTGCATTGTCATCTTCATTCTCTTCAAAATCCTCCACTCGAAGCTCCAAATTATCATTCTGCATAATACATATATTATGCAGAACTGTACAAGCAATAATGTATCTGGTACCCCAAACAATATCTTTCACATCCAGGAACTTCAGACAGCGAAATCTCTTTTTCAAGAGACAAAAAACCCTCTCAATGCAACTTCTTACACTAGATAAACGAAAATTGTAATGCCTTTGGGCTTCTGTTAAATGGCCGTTATCCCTGTATGGAGTCATGAGGTGAGGCATTAGAGGATAGGCTTTATCTCCCACTAAATGTGAGTTTTCTGGGAATCTGTTATTTCCTGGCATACCAATCATATATTCCCATATCTCACTATTCCTCAAAACTCTCGCATCGTGGCATGACCCTACTTCTCCTGCAGTGGCATGTAAGAATTTTAACTGATGATCACAAACACCCTAGAAGAAAACAAATTATTAGTGACCTTGCAACATGTTTGGATATTGTAAAGCATCCCAAGCTAGTTTTCGATTACATATGCACAAAAGGACAAAATCTTACTTGCAATATAAGGTCTGCAAATCCTTTCCTTTTAATATAGGACCTGGGGTTTTGTTTTGGTTCTGATATTTTCACATAGGATCCATCTATACATCCGACAGTTCCAGGGAAACCCAAGGCAGTGAAAGCTCTTATAATGTTTTCTCTTTCATCATTTGTTGGCCAGGTAATGATTTGGTTACTAATGTTCAACAAAGCATTGGTAACTCTCCGAACTATTCTAATTGCTGAAGCTTTACCAACATTTAAACGTGAGCAAATTGACCTGAAGTATGTAAAGATCATGTCCACTATGAAATAATAAAAGTTATGGTGTGAGAATATCTACCTATAAGAATCAGGAGTACCAAATCGCCAAATTGCAATCAGTAATTGGTTTTTAGCACTACAGGTGTGCCTGCCAGTGGCATCTTCCTCTGTTGCAGTTTCGTTTTCAATCAAATTTAGAATGAAATTGAATGTGCCCCTGTACATCCGAAAATGTTCTCGAAATTCTTCATTCGAATATTCGTCCACTACATCCTGTACAAAATTTCTCATCCTTGGTCTGAGAACTATCAAAGGTGAAATAATAATATTAAAAATCTGCTATTGATGAAAAAGCGAGTGAAGAAGCAGGATTCTTCACTTACCCAAAGGTCCTCTAATATCCAAGTTTTCATCTTCATCTTCACTGCTACTGCTACTGAGAAGATGCTCATTCACCACAAAGTTTCTCAATCTGTTATTCATTTATAATATTATTTTATGATTATATGTGGCCAAAAACCAAAAGCAAGGACCTGACAGCGTGATATCATTTTTGTCAGATGAATGTCATCGCTGGTATGTTGGTCCGTAAATGAACCGGTTTTCATGCAACCGATCTTTTACCAGAGAGGTGAAGTGATGGTTAACCTGATTGACTTACGGACCATACCCTAAATCTAGAGTTTTCAGGATAGGTCAATGCGACATTTCAACTAAATTTGCGACGTGTCGGATTTCTAGCGTTCTCAATATGGCCATGGCGACTTTTATGGAGATATTTTGATCACGTGAATTTGTGATGACGGATATGAATTCATATTTTGAAACATTAGGGTTCGCGACTTTCCGAGACGAAGAGATAAGCAGGGAAGAGAATGACAGATGACATGGTTTGTTTTTATCATTTGTGGTCTTTTGTTGTCGTCCTCAACTGTCATGTACCATGTCGCCTGTCGGACTTGGGCACTGGGGGCTGAGGGCTGGAGGCACGAGGGAAACAGATATGGCCGCCGATTCTTGAGATCAAGAGAGTAGAACGCTCCCTGGGGAGCTCCCTCGGATTTGTTTCTACTCCTTCGTTCTAGAACAACCACAGTGTATTCTTGAACAATATGGAGGGAGATGAGAGGGAGGAAAATAAAAGCTTTCATGAGATATTTTTTTGCGGCGTTGTCAAATACTCTAACCAATAGGGA